CCACTAAAAACTTACAGATAGCTTCTTATCATGTACTAAGATCAGATGTAGTATTATTGAATATTCTCATGCATCCATAATTTTATGATAAAGAAGTCCTTATAAAACAAAGATCCATGTGTGTGTTGAGTTTTTCGAGTTGATTCTGTTAGCTTCAGCCACGTAGATTAAGCGTACTTTTGCACTTTTTAGTACATATTTTAGGAGTTGATACGAAAAAAACACACACAAGAAACTTCCATACTGGTTCATTATCTTTAAGATGTACCTTGTTTAGTGAGCTGTGAAGCGGATCAGTTCAAGTACAGAAGGTTGAGATAATAAACATCATATTTACATTCATTACTTCCAGTTAACTAATTGTTAATTTACATGAGAAAACTAAACCCAATCAAAGTTAACGAAAAGTTATTCTTCCAATTACGAAAGTAATTGGAAATATCAATGCAATAGAGAGAACTTCAGGAATCGGTCTTACAACGAATTACTAACATTTAATTATTATACATATTGTACTGTTTGTTTTGAATCTTCTTATTGATGTTTAGAATAGCAACTGATCAGTCACTCTGGAACTCGAACCTAGTACTATTCACTTCAAACATGATCACTTTATCCACTTAGCTACTAAGTTCTAACATTCACTAGTTTATATAATGGAGTGAAGTTTAAATTAATTAAATTCATCAATGAAAAGATTCAAACAAACAATATAAAAAAATGAATTAAAACACCAACTCTGGGATATAGGTACATCCAACTGATGAATCTCAAATAGAACGAAATATTCATCCTAAATTCCATTGATAACTATCATCTATCTTTCATGATTATTGTTAATATGGAAAGTACTTTTTAAACCCCGCTCCCTTCAATCACTATGCACCTTATATCTTGAACTGTATAATTTACAGAATAGTACATTACCAAAACGTGGCATCAGTGCTTGAAGTCACTAACCTCTAGTCTGAGCCATGTTGGTAGATGCAGACTACTTGGTTGGGGTCCGCGTGACTTTCGTAACCGATGGTTGGAGACTCTTGGTGACATGGCTCATAATCGATCACAATGGCGTCGGTGTATACACTCCCTGTCTTCCCTTAAGCTAAGAGATTAAAATCACTTCATATCTTTCTTTCTACTAACTAATTCTTTCTTCCTGTACTGTTTCCTTGTATGCAATCTGTCTTTTATATTTTACCACCTTTGACCTAACCACTCCTATGAATCCGGTGTTCATCTTGCTGTGCTAATGCAGTATGGCAACCTGGACCGATGCATATATGTGCCTGGTCCTACGTTGTAGCTGACTGACTGACTGACTGACATTAACATTAAGTGAATTTTGCATAATTCAAATCATCAATTAAAAAGAAATTATAATGAATAAATTAAAAGTACTCAATTAAAACACTATAGTAATCATCAATCATTTATTAGATATCATGTGTTTGTTTGATCGGTTTCAAATGAATTAGGCGCCTATTTTATTTAAAAGATAAAACAACAAGATTATTTAAAGTCCAGAAATACGTTTTTGTAAAACAACAACAACAAACGGTTAATAGTACAAGTGTGATTTTTATTTACCATTTCATTAGTCAGTCAGCTATAACGTAGGATTAGGCATATCATTTCATTGGAACATTAAAATCAATACTGATTGCCCCGACATGAATTTAGCTCCATTGATCATGGCTTCTCACTAGTACTCCGAGAATTCTCTCACAAAGCTGGTCATTAGTGAGTACATGGTAATTATCAGTTTAGGGTTGTGAAGATTATTAAGTTTTTGATTGAGTCATGGCTTCTCACCAGAACTCTGAGAATCATAATAACCTCCACAATCCTATACTGATCAATACTGATTCTTTAATAGTTGAATTGATTTATATCAAAAAGGGTTTTGTGGAAGTACTAGACGAGCATTTCATCCTACTGTGGGACTCCTCAATGTAACCTGAGATGATTACCCTAATATACATATTCTGCCATATGTTTTTAAAGATAGAATACGGCTATCAATAGAATCTATGACGTTCATTTCATTCTTTTTGATACTTAGCTGGATATACGTACAACCAAATTCATTTTTGTAAAAGAAATTCTATGACTTTCTAGAGTATACGCTATTATGTCATAATACGTCTGAATGTTTTCTTTCCTTTAAATTACACATATGTACGTAGTTGTTCATTCGTTTACAAATGTCTCTATTAAGGTATGCATACACATGTACGTAATTTAACGATTATTTACCGCTATTTATAAATTAATTTTAATTTTTATCAGGAATGTGGGTTTATGAAGATTGCAGTCATTTTACTAATTGAATTAATGAATCGATCTAAGTTAGACCACCACTGAAAACCTAGAAACATTGAACAGTCATTTCGTCTTAGCATAGGACTCTACAATAGTGCACATATATGATCCCATATGCGAGACTCGAACCGAAGACCTTCGGTCTCATGTATGAACGTGATAGACAACTGTCTTTAACTTGTAGTATTATTACTTAAATACAGGATTGAATAGAGGATTTAAATGTACTATGTTGAACAAAATAAATTGAATACAATCATAATCTCTTACTTTGGTTTTATCACTTTGTCAATAATGATCAAAGTATCTGTTCATCTAATTGTGCAACAATTAACTAATAATTCTTGACTAACAATCTTTTCAAATCATTATTAGTTTAATAGATCTTAATGTACATTATTAAATTGTAGATATCATCTTTAGGCATAGAATGATAGGTGTACAGAATTTATTAACATTAGTGAAATTATTAGTACAGGACTTATGGAGATTATAAAGTATTTGATTGAGATCATGAACCGACTGATGTTAGACCACCTTCGGAAACCCGGAAGCACTGGACGGCCGTTTCGACCTATTGTGGGACTCCTCAGCAGTGCGCATTCACGGTCTTGCTCGTGAGATTCAAACCCAGGGCTTTCGGTCTCGCGCGCGAACGCTTAACCTATTGGGCCACTGAGCCCGCCGGCATCCAATGGTGATAGTGTCTAATATCAACCATCTTCCATTGTACTGAGGTAGATACCTGTCTCTGCCCGACACGGATTAGCTCCACTAGTCACGGCTTCTCACTAGAACTCCGAGAATTCCCTCACGAAGCTAGTTACTAGTGAGCACATGTTAGTTACTAGTATAAGGGTTGTGGAGATCATTACGTTTTTGATTGAGATCACGAAATTCATACTTTAGCCAAATTCGAAAACATATCTATATAGTAGCACAAAATGATTTGTGTTTTAAGATCACAATCAATCATATTCACAAATGACTTTCAACTATGCAGATTTTAAATGAATAAGTTAATCATATATATATAAGGTGATTAGATGCAGGAATTCGTGCATCTGGGTCTTGTCGTGGTAGTTACTAATTAACATATGCTCACTAGTGACAGTCTTCAAGAGGTATTTCCTTGAGTTCTAGTGGGAAGCAGTGATCAATGGAGTTCAACCGGATCTGTTGTAAGATAGTAACTCACTGAAGACAATGATGTTTCTTGGCGCAATTTCATGGGTTGGTTGAAGTTAAACATTAACAACGTTGGATCCCGGCCGGCTCAGTGGTCTAGTGGTTAAGCGCTTGCGCCTGGGACTGATAGGTCCTATGTTCGGATCCGCGGGAGGCGGGACTGTGGATGCGCAGTACTGAGAAGTCCCGTACTACGGCCGACCATAATGGTCTAGTTTCAGTTGTCTCATGATTTCAACTATTGAAATTACTAAAAACTCCACAAAATCCCTTCTGAGAATGAAAACTGCTTATTCAATGATAAAGACTAAACTTCTAACCAATCTATTTATCACATATGTATCCTAAGCTAATTACCTTAATATACATATTCCACTATAAGTTCTTTACGATAGAATACAGCTATCATTGAAATTCATGACATTCATTTAATTCACTTTGATATTTAGCTAGATGTACATAGAATCCTTAACGTATTATCCATTAAACTATTGAATCCATATAGCTAACCGTAATCTTTATTTAAATACTACAATGAATCTTAGTATTCATTTTAATGGTTTTGCATAAAGATCTAACCATAAATAAATAAACAACATTTACATTTGATGAATAGAATAGAATTAACTCATATTCAATGTTTCATTTCCCTTTCTTCGTTTGTTTTAATGTAACATTATGTTACGTGATTCATTGAATGAATTGTTTATTACTTAGTATACAATACAAAGAAAATGGTATTATTTATATTACAGAAATCTTGGTAAAACCAAAAAAAAGGCAGGCTTCATTTCTTTTAATGGTCTAATGTTTTCCAATATGATGTTATATTGTGAGTAGACAATACAATACTGTCATCAAATGATGCCTATATGTTTGTTTGTTTATAGATTATGATAATGTAAACTGTTTCATTATTATTATTATATGATGAATACGAGTTAAACATTAAGGAATCAAAACAATTGTTGTTTTCATAAACCAAGATGAATAATGGTTAATAGGAGAATATGGAATGTGCGTTTCGTCCTCTTTAGGATTCATCAGTTAAGTGTACCTATATCTCAGAGTTTATGTTTACTCTAAGACTCACTCAAATCAAGTACTGTTCACTTCAAACACCAACGTGTTATCCATTCAGTTATTGAGTCGTTTTGAGATAGTGGAGAAGATTTGTAGCTCAGGTGAATGATTTTCATGAAGTTTTGTTCTATGATCCAGAGAACAAAACTCCATCAACAACTGACTCATTTTCTTTCTGTTTAGTGTTATTAATGTTAATTAATCCTTTTGAGATTGATTTAAACAATTAGTTTATAGCAAGGGATTAGAAACAAAAGAATGACTAGTTTTATAAACAGTTTTTTCTTTCAAGTTTATTTCCTTCTTATTGTATGATTGAACAATAGAAATCATTGGTTAAATACAAAGTTAACATGTTTACACTGTATGTTATACCGTGTTTCATCCTAAGGTTTTGATTTAATATGGCTCTTTATCAAGAAGATTCAAAATCATTAAGGTTTATTGAATGTAAGCTAGTTGAATCCTCAGTTTCTACTAATAAAGTTTCCAACGTAATTACTTATAGGTAGTAATACATTTATATAAAACTTTCGTTATGTAAGTTCCTCTAAGCACCAGGCTTAACTCTGTGTTTGCCACCAGAAAAAAGATTGGAAATGTTCATGTATGATAATATAAAGTGAAATATGTTAGCTTATTATTATTTATTTATTTATTTTGACATACAGATATTGGTTCAAGGAGGCATCAAATACATATGCACCACACAAATCTCGTTTGATATGTGTAGGGGCTGTGATACTGCCCAGGTGCCCAAACCGAAGCAGGTGGTTTTCTTAGGGGACCACACCCGGAGCCTTCGACCTAAAAGTCTGATCCACAAGGCAGTGAAGCAACGCAAGGAGATGCAGTTCCATGGTAGTCGGTGAACAACGATTGGTTCATACGCCATTTGTTCCTTCAGGATAGTGGAGCCAGCCGATGTTCACCATTGGTTTGGAATCATGGTTTTCCAACTCCACTAGGTGGACCATTCGCATCCACAAACCCGGTCATGGCGCCGAACATTCGCTTTTCATCCTCTCACTTTTCTAAACAACACCCCGCCACGAGAAGGCAGTGAATAGGACTTCCCTGTCAAAGGCAATATACACGTAGCCATGTGAGAGCATTTGGAGAGGGAGAGCGGACTCCCTCCACTCTCGGCCTTACCAGGGCATTTGGGAGCATGTTAGCTTAAGTAGATTCACATAAATAATTGAGTTGATTAGCTTGATACATTGATGGTCAACTGACAGAATAAAGGCTAAATATAAAACTGTACAGTCAGCAACTTACTCCTTTTCTTTTTATATGTACATAACAAGTTTTCCTGTTACATTTAATCGGGTGTGTATGAATTGCTGTTCAAGCAGATGACTTTGACTTACTAATAATATGAGAAATAAGGGTAATAACTAACTTTCAGTGATGATAGTTTGGTTCTATCTCAGACTAGGTTTTTCTATTTCAATCATCAATCATTACACAGTTTTGTCATAGCCTAACAAAGAGCAAATGAATGATAACTGCTAGAGAAATTGTTTGTCGACTATCATGACATATATTCTAAATGGACAATTATTATGTAACTAGATTATATGTGTATATCCATATTCCCTTTACCATAACGTTTCATTTGATCTATCTATTCTTAATTAATACCCAAGTTATTAGTTACTGCATCTCATATTCACAGTCACTTGTTGGCTTGATCATGGATAATTATCATTTCTTATTTTATGGTGTAATGTGATCTGATTTGCTTGTATATAAACAACGTATGTCTGAATTATACGATTCATAAAGTGGAGGCTGAGATTGAGTTCTGGACTCAACAGCCAGGGTTAAGCGAGAAGAATCAATAAGGATTCAGAGTTGATTCATAGCTACTAGTGCTGTTTAATATGTCATTGATTTAGTACAAGAACAAGGTCATATAAGCCAGTATTCTGATTGACAGTTTCTTCACATGGTAATTGATAGGAACAAAAGATATAACCCAGTAAATCATTAGCAACTGGTAATTAAATTCATAAAAGTATGACAACGTTTCTTTAAATGACCCGTTTGTAAAAGCCGCATAATTTCTTCAGTTTTGGGAATGAAAACTGCAAAAACACTTGAAATTATCATTTTATAACTTCACTGTAAATACGAACTGATGTAAGTATTCACTTAGTCTGAGCAACGCTAAAGTGACTTAGAGAGTGTACACCTAGTAACTGAGACAAAATGAGGGTTATAAAGCAGTGTGAGGAATTAGGATTATGATTTACAGTCGATAGTTCTGGTTAGAAATTAGATTTAGGGTTTTCATTACGAAATAACATCAGCTATAATGCCAAGATTATCCAAATGAATGAGTGAATTTCGTGCCAAATTCCGAGACCTGTTATCTTACACGGGATTGGTTCGTCCATACATTATAGTCTCGCCTTATAAAGAAATTCATATGGATCAAGAGAACTTTCAAATAATTTATCAACGATCTAATAAGTTCAACCATATCGATTGTGAAACGAATATAATCAGTGACAATGGCTAATAGTCACACAGCATTGAGAATGAATTGATATTAGAATTGTAAACTTTTAGATGGTAACTCAGTGATTGAAATGTCTAGTGTTTGCCATGATACTTGAAGATAACTGGTCAGAATTCTGATTTGTCTTTGGATCTTCATTGTTAATGAGTCTAATGCTAATGTATGACAGTGATCCTTAGTTTTTAATGAATGTCTAACTAAGGTCAATTCATGATGTTAAACCATAAAATTATACTGTCTAGTAAGTTAAGTTAAGTATTCTAAAAAGATAAAACTTTTGAAATGATGAGAAAAATATTTTTCTATTCAGTTAGTTATGTAACTCATTGGTATAATATTTATTTACAGAAGGGGTTTGTGGAGATTTTAGAAATTCCACAGATTGGCTGACTTCAAGAGATACTCCTGGAGTTCTAGTGAGAAGCCGTTACCAGTGGAGTTGAACCAGGTCTGTTGTGAGATATCAGCTCACTGAAGACAATGGTATACGGTGGTGCAACTTCGTGAATTGGTTGAAGTTAGATATTAACACCACTGGATGCCGGCTCAGTGATCTAGTTGGTTAAGCGCTTGGCGCGAGAGCGGTAGATCCTGGGTTGGAGTCCCGTGGGGTGCGGGGTCGTGAATGCGCACTGCTGAGGGGTCCCATATTAAGAAGGAACGACCATTCAGTGCTCCCAGGTTTTCCATGGTGGTCTAGCTTCAATTGACTCGTGATTTCAATCTGTAATATTTATTTGCATAAACATACACATGAATGTATTCAATAAATGAGTCGATACTGGAATCTATTGACGGTAAATAAATTACGTTCAGTGCGTATGAAAAAAAATGGATATCAGAGAGATATTGTCATTATTATGTGTTAGAATTTATAGTGGATGTTGAATCTTGCCAAGTTAATCGAACGATTATCCACAGAAATATTCAATATAGGATTGTGGAGATTATTAAGTTCTCGATTAAGATAATGAAAACCTGGAAGCATTGGGCGGCCGTTTCCTTCCATTACAGGACTCCCCAACAGTTCACATCCACGATCTTGCTTGCGGGAATAAAAGTTAAATAAATCTATGATAAACATCAAAGTCGATTTACTTAAATCTAAGGCAGATACGAAACTTCTAATTCAATAACTACCTTTTGTATGATATCTTAATATTGTCTCATAATATGATATAATATAATTAGCGATGATATTTTCGCTAATAGCACCCGTCTAGCGGGCACTGAGTATTTTTCATCGACAGTTGATCATAAATACTTGTACTTTTCTGATGATGACTGTAGTAATTCTTTAATTCAATGAGTTTGACTACTTATAAGTAGTATACATTTTTATAACAAATAATAACTATTTGAATGGCAACCAAGCACATAACACTATGAAAATGAAATCGACGGATTTTGAATGTGGGTTCGATTTCACTGAATTGCAACTATATAGATGCATTCATCTGAAAAATATCGTCTTTGACCTTTGGTTAAAATAATAATATCTAGTATTTTCTCATTAATATACAAATATAATTATGAAGGGCGGCCAGCTTGTGCATTTGGGCTACCTGTTCCTGCCATCTAGATATTTCACCAAGTTATCTATTGTTGTTTATTTTAATATATCTGCTACGTTTCTGAAAAGTGTACAATCTTTCATTGTCAAAGTTACAAGAAACTGAATAAGAGACTATGTAGTTGCTGGCAATATACAATGTAAAGAATGCAGTTTATTCAGATGTTCATTTAGTGAACTGCTAACATCTAACTGTCGATCACTCAATATTTATCGCCAGGAACGAGAAAGAAGAAAGAAACGGAAACTTGTTGAATTACTTTGCGCTGAAAATTCTATATTGTACCAAAAATATGATATTGAATAAAGCTAATAATAATAATAACAATAATAATCATAAAGTAGAATGTGTAAACCAAAGACGATTTTATAAGCAAGGATGGATAGTGGCTAGCAGTGGAATCCAGGACGTGCGTTTCCTCCTATTTCGGACTCGTCAGCTGGATGTACTTACAGATTGTACCTTCAGGCAATATCAAGACAGTTCGCACGGGATGGTGAGCGTTTTCTAGTGAGCATTTTTTTTTAGCGAGTTAGTTTTCTACAGGATGGGGTCGCTAATCCCATGCCCAACACTCCGCCTTTATCCGGGCTTGAGACCGGCAGAAGCCCTCGGAGGGTCTCCAGGCGGGATGTACATATGCCAATAAGAGACTGATCAATCGCAGTCCTAATTAACCATCGGAAGATATAAGTAAACAACAATAAGTGATTACAAAGATGATTTTTCTTTGAATACATTGTTTAGTCATTGAATTGTGATTGTAAATAATTTTTATTCTTTAATTTTAAAGGTATCGTTCAAGTGAATCTACATACAAATTGAAGGCAATCAATCTTATCATTCAAATTCTTCATACAATTTTATATCAATTTATTGGAAGTTTAAGTTTAGCCTCTTTATTAAGTTATTTTACATGGCCATTACTTCAATTATTATGTTTATACAGAATTATTAATTATATAATAAAACATAAACAAGTATCCATTTTAAAATCTACATCGAAATGGGAACAGAAATTACAAAATTTCGAATGGCAAATTCATCATTTAGATTGTAATGTATTTACATTAATTAGTAAGTTCTTTTTGAAAAAAAAAGATTATTATTTATTATTGTTTATATGAACACATAAATATTTGTTCAGTGGGACACCGAATACATATGCGCCACACAAGTCTCTTGCTTTGTGTGTGGGCTGTGATACTGCCTGAGTGCCACAAAGGAAGCGGGTTGTTTTCTTAGGGGGCCACACTTGGAGCCTTCAGCCTAAAGATCTAATCCATAAGGCAGTGGAGCAACGCAAGGAGATGCAGTTCCATGGTAGTCGGTGAACAACGATTGGCTCATACGCCAGTTGTTCTCTCAGGGTCCTGGAGCCCATGTGCACCATTGGTTTGGAATCATGGTTTTTTAACTGCTCTTAGTGGACCATTTGTGTCCACCATCCTGGTTAAAGCGTCGAACATCCGCTTGTCGTCCTCTCACTTCCGTAAACAACATCCTCATCACGAGAAAGCAGTGAGTAGGACTTCCCTGATAGTGATTGTATGCATGTGGCCATGTGAAAGCATTTGATGAGGGGGAGCTGACTCTTCCCACTTTTGGTTGTACCAGGGCATTTGAGTGCCTAAAGAGCCTGATATTCGCATTTCATCCTCTCAAGTCCGTAAACAACACCCTCGCCACGAGTAGATTAATGTATTTACATTAACCAGTAACATTTTTTTAAAGAAAAAACGTAAAGAGATTTGGATAACTTCTAATGATTTTGAACACTGAAATTTAATTTGATAGAGATATATTCAGGTGAATAGCCTAATAAGAACTGCCAACATTCTCTTTAAAAGTCAAAATTTCCAAATTGATACAGTTTATAACAGTAATATTCTGTCATCACAACGAGTATATACGATATGCTCATGAGTAGGAAGTCCAGACATAAGATCATTTACTCATCATCACAGTTATCATTTAGAGTAGTTATTTCGTTATTACGTTTCGAGTGTATACTTAAATGGAAGTTAACTAACTATACGATCATATATCTTTCAACACATCTACTTAAAAATGAAGGTTACCTTGTTTAAACGGATAAGTATTTAGGGAACAGATATAAAAATTCATCTATTTCACTATTAGCTAGTTAAAAAAACGAATTACCATAATGAAAAATTGTATTCAGTAAAAGAATGATAATGTTCTATTTTCATTTGAAAGCATCAAATTAGACACTAAACTGTCAAAAGAAAGATCAAACTTGGTTATCATGTTATGAATTAACTAAGATAACACATCATAGGTATGTGGTACATAAGAATCCAAACTCGAAAACTTACCACAATCAAGTTTTGAATAAGCAACTAGAATCTCTGAACAAAAAGACCAAATTGTTGGTCGTCATTGATAGGAAGATTAAGGTTAACATTGAAACCTGCTTCTTGGATTAAAAAAACGTGCAAACTATGTTAAAAAATTCCATGTTATAAGCAGAGATAGATGATGGCTAGCAGTGGAATCCAGGCTGTGCGTTTCGTCCCATTTATAACTTGTCTGCTGGATGTAGCTGCATCCCAGAGTTAATGTTCACTCAAGGACTCCAACTAAGTAACCTTTACTTGAAATGCCATCACGTAATCCACTTAACCATTGAGCATAGATAGTGGATAACGCGATGGCGTTTCAAACAAAAGTTAGTTAATCTGAGTCCTTGAGTGAATATTAACTCTGGGATGCAGCTACATAAATGGGATAAAACGTGCGTTTTGGGTTCCACTGTTAGCCGCCATCTATCTCTGCTTATAACGCTTGTGATTTCAGGCGATATCGAATTGATCCTCACAGGATGCAGATATGTCAATAAGACAGTAATCAACTGCAGTCTCAAACACTAATGAGAATATTCACATAGGTAAGACAAAAATGAAAATCATTATGTGTTGATGTGTTTATGATATTCCAGAATACGTTACCCTGAATTTCTGAATCTAATTATCACACTTATAAATTTACCGTTTATCTCCATGTACCTTTTCTCAACATCCAGAATCCTAATGATAATAATTTATCACATAAATCAATTTTATATTCAAAAACGTAATCATCACTCGTCAGCAGGGTGTTTCCGACAGGAATGATGCTCATTGTAACATTCAGACTCCTAATATTAGTTGTTACTATCAAAAACGTTGCCACTGAGAAACTTATCTCACGTAGAACCCCAATAGTGACCAATTGTCAATAAAGGATTACTGAAACTACATAACAAAAAAAACGTCCTACCTGAACGTTAAGTCACTTAAACTGGTCCTTACAATGAAACTTGATGGAAAAAATTCAATTAACATTAAGAATAAGACGAAATGATATTGTCTCTTGTATGCGGATCATTTAGTTCAAGTTTCATCTTTAATTTTTTTCAATAATTAAGATCATGAGTCAGTTGAAGTTAGACCACCATGGAAAACCTGTAAGCACTGGACGGCCAACTCGTCCTATTGTGGGACTCCTTAGCAGTGTGCATCCACGACCTCACCCCCTGCGAGATTCAAACCCGGGACCTACTGGTTTCGCGCGCGAGCACTTAACCACTAAACGACTGAGCTGGCTAGCATCGATTGGTGTTAATGTCGAAACTCAACTAATCCACGAAATTGAGCGACATATCCACCATTGTCTTCAATGAGTTACTATCTCACAACAGACCTGGTTGAACTCCACTGATCACTACTTCTCACTAGAACTCCAGAATCTACCTCGTGAAGCCAGTCACTAGTGAGCATATTATGATTAATATCAGATGGGTTTTGTGGATATTATAGTCCCACAATAGGACCAAACGGCCGTCCAGTGTTTCCAGGTTTTCCATTGTGGTCTAGCTTCAACTGACTCGTGATCTTAATTATTGAAATTACTATAATATCCACAAAACCCATCTGATTTTAATTTTTTTCTTTATAAATCAAACTTACAGTACAGTTTTCGTACTCTGTTAACTTTCTGTAGACTGGAAGTATCATAATCAGAATTCTAGTCATATTATTAATATTTTGGGAATCCAGTGATAGACCGTAACTATGCAAAGATAATCCAGTGGTACTTGAAGGTACAAATATATGAAAAGGAGCTTTTTGTTGAACCGAAAGCTCTTGAGAATATCTGAACATAAAAATAAATGTTTGAGGAGAACGAAGAAATGGAATCCGATAAGTATTACCAAACAATGTATAATTGTAAAGTGAACTACTCACAATGTTGAGAGGTTAGAAAAGTCAGTCAGAAACGATAAATTACTCAAACCTCAGTAGTTGTGATGGAAATCCTTGTGAGCTTGTGATTGAAATATGGTCCGATGTATGTTGAAGTTCTGAAAAAATTTTATAAATTGACCATAAAACTTGGAAGTCTTCAGTTTTAAAGCTTGTTGAGATTCCAGAGTTATAAACTAAGCCTTGATATTCGTTAACTCAGCCCTATGCTTTCCATGATTCGTATAACTATGATAGCGATTATAAGGCATTAAAAGTTATATTACTAACGATCTATAAACAACTTAGTCTTTCAGTTAATGCCTTGAGAATATTATACTACTTAATAATAAATAGTAGTTAAAAGAATCTTATGACTTATTAGCTGATAAGATTTTATTATGCTCTATTTATTGTGATATTGTATCTCTCGTCATCTTTGAGGCCATCAGTCATTTAATTTACTCAGAAAGAATACGCTACATGATAAGGGTGTAGAATATTGCAGTTTCATCAATATGAAATTGAAAACCTGAAATAACAAGATGAAATGGATGAAGTTGAATGTTTTAGTAATGAAAATAGTGAACTACTAAGCACATAGAATATAGTTTGAAAACAATGAATGAGTATGAACAAATAAGATGTATAAAATAATAATACTGCTATTGATAACCATCCCTGTAAACTTAGGTCTTCAAATGTTACCTGCATAGTACTTGATAGATGTCCCAGTCAGATCAGTTTATAAAACTGTGTAGCTTTACTGACGGACCTACTAACTGAATCTTATGCTTTGTTTATTTATTGATCCAACCAAACATGAATGATGTTTGTCAGTTAATAACAGTTGAGTATTGATTATGTCTTCAACCCTCAATTCACACCAATAAATGATATTAAACAAATATCTGTGCAATGTAATCACTCCCTTACAGATAGACAAAGAGTTTGCCTACTCTATAAATTGCACTAGAAGCCGTTTTTCCAATATCTCATTTATTATTACTTTTTTAAAAGTAATAAAATTTCATGAAGACAGGTGAATGAATGTAATTGATTGATAATTTCATTTCTCATCGTTTGACTACTATTTGCATCTTTCTTGTGGTAAAACTTACTAAACATACTTACTCACGCCTGTTACTCGCAGTTGAATATAGGCTGACGACCAGCATTCTCCAACCCACTATGTCCTGGGCCTTTCATTCCAGTTCTATACTATTGTTCTTCATTCTTTTCATGTCTGTCTCCATTTCTCGGTGTAATGTGTTCTTTGGTCTTCCTCTTCTCATTTAGCCTTGAGGATTCCATGTGAGGGATTGAATTGTGACGCGATTGGATGCTTTCCTCAATGTGTGTCTTATCCACTTCCAGTGCTTCTTCCTGATTTCTTCCACCGCTGGAATATGGTTTGTTCTCTCCTACAGTTGGGTTTTTCTGATATTGTCTGGTCAACGTATCCAAAATATTTTGCGTAGACAATTGTTAATAAACACTTGAATCTTCTGGATGACGGCTTCTTCCAAGTCCCAGCGGAGGGATAAATCAGGAAGAAGCACTGGAAAAGGATAGGTCACACATTGAGGAAAGCACTAAACTGCATCACAATACAAGCCAGCATTTGGAATCCTCAAGGCCTAAACACAATTATCTTTACTAATTATGTCCTTTCTAAACAATGTATTACATCAGTATCCTTAGCAAACAGATCTACATACTTTAATTCAATTAATACATCTCAAAGTTTATACATACACTAACTGAATAATTTGACTACATATTTATTCGAAATTTTCTATTCACTTTCCAAACTCAATCAGTCAGTCA